GCTAGTCTTCTTGCAGCTATGTCTGGGGCAGGGGCACCCTCCTTAGTCTCTGAGAGGCAATGAGATATGGTAAAAAGAATATTGACTTTGGAATTGAGCCTGGGAATGGTTTGGGCTGCATCAAGTTAGGCAATTTACTTACCCTTCTTGAATTTCAATTCTTATCCCTGTAAAATGGGGATAATAATCCTGATAGGATTGTTGTAGAATTAAGATAATGCAAGTAATGAACGAATTTGATTGATGACTGATCCCCTTCTTGCCCACAAATTTGGATGAAGATACTCTATGAAGCATTCATTCTCCCTAGATAGGGTTTCCTCATAGTTTTGCTTTACGGCTACCCTCTGGGCTCAGTGGGTCTTACCAGAGTTGGAAAGTCTTCACATGGATCCCGTCTTTCTTCTCTTCTCCCTGCATGGCCCTGAGCAGAGGTTTGGGGGCTGTTCCTTGCTGCAGAGCACTCCTTATTTAGCACTCAGACTTCCTGTTTCTGGCAGCTTTCCCCATCTCTGTGAGTTTCTAAGACCACAGCCATGGCTCAATTCTCCCATTTATCCACCGAGTCCAACCTCCATTCACTTAGAAGGAGCCAGATGAACAGGTGTTATGCTCCTTAATCATGCCTGGCATACAGTGGATGATCAATATCCCTAATTTCCTTTCCTAAGACTTGGAGGCTGTATATTATACAGGCTGTTTTACAGAGCTGTACTAGCTATTATGATTGCGAACAGTGCTCCAAAAATTACATTTTAGACATGAAATACCTTGCACATCACAAACTCAGTCTTTAAAGCCATTAGCATCTGCACTTGGTCAATGAGACTGCCATTTCAGAAATAAATCTATGTCCATGTCCAAGCATCCACTGAATATGCCCATATCTAGTTTTTTAAAATGCTTGCAATCTTTCCCTTGCATGGAAATGGAGTATGGGTGGTCCAGCTTATACTTGGCAGCCTTTTTCTGCACAGATAAAATTCTAAGACAATAAAGATTTTGATCTGATGTAAGTTCCTTTGTGCAAACAAGCTTGCATAGCAAAATAGTGCAGATAAAGCTAGATGAAAATGGCCTTTGCACAAATAAACGTAACTATATTATGTTTCTCTGGCATAAAAATAGATCAGATGGTAGAGGACAAAAATAGGTGACATGGTAACATAAACCGACTTGTGTAATCAGAGGGTCGATGCTGACATTTTTCTCTCTAGACCTTTTCTAATAGTCTTGTTGCTAGGGCTACAATGTTTTTGCCAATTGCAACAGAATTGTCAACTCTAATGAAGATTAAGTAGCTTGCCCAACTATTTTTTTTTTTTTAAATAAGCATCAGTGAATACTTCTGGCTTTAAAAGCCATCATCATGAAGAATGGAAAGATCTCTAAAGATCTTTTTTAGAAAATATAACTAATAAAATTTGAAATTTAGTATAGTTTCCATTTCAGGGTTATACTCTTTATTGTAGTCATACTGAAGAAAATAACTTGAAATAAGTATTTATAAATTAAGCCAAAAATAAATTCCCTAAAGACTGAGTAACTGAGTTTACTGAGTGAACAATTCTTCTGATTAGTTAGAAAATTATATTGCATTATTGTTCACAAATTCACACCTGATTTATTTTTTAGACAATATAAATAAGGTTGAGGATAAAGCCCTATCCTTTGGTTTCTCCCATAAATTGGTAAAAGTCATCTGGTAACATACTATCTGAACAAAGTGTAAATACAACATCACCCAATAAGACTTGGTTAAGTTTTGCAAAGTGCAATACTACATAAAAGAAAAACTGTCCTAAACATTCAATTGCTAAAAGGATTGCAAAAAGTACAAAAAAGGTAAGGAAATACTACTTTTGTTGTGTTTATTGGGGAGTCAGGAGTTTCCTTGGCTGAGAACATAAGAATTAGACCACCTATACTTTAGGCATATATACCCCCCAATTGACCCTGCAATTCTATTGTGAGAATAATTAAATTTATGAGAATTAAATAATTCAGGAAAAGTGCCTAGCATATATTAGATACTAAGTGCTTTTGACCCCTCATGTATTTATATTTTTGTAGCCAGAAATCTCAATGATAATTTCCACTAAGAAAAGCTGAATATTATGGTCTTGAGATCCAAAATAAATTCACCTTAATTTGAATATTGTTATACCATGAGTGACATCTGCTGGAAAATATAATAGTTACAACGCAGTATTATATACCCATTCTGACCTTTCATGAATAGTATTAAAGAGAAATTTTATACAAGTAAATGAAAACAGGTTAAGAAAAATGTCTATGAGGATATCTACCTTATTTTTTCAATAACTTTTGAGTCTATTATCTAATATAGGTTAATGAACATGAGAAACATCAGTGGACTCTAATATGTTTTCAGTGTGCATGGTATATAGCAAAAAGATGATTTAAAAGTGAAGTATAGATGCTTTATGCTATTCTTTTTTTTCTTTTTTTGAACACCGTCTTACTTTTTCACTCTCAGTAGAGTGCCATAGTATTGTAGCGCACAGCAACCTCAAACTCTTGGGCTCAAGCGATCTTCTTGCCTCAGTTTTTCATTTTTTTTTTTTAAGTAGAGACAGGGTCTCACCCTTGCTCAGACTGGCCTCAAACTCCTGAGCTCAAGTGATCCATCCACCTTGTCCTCCCAGAGTGCTAGGATGACAGGTGTGAGCCACTGTGCCCAGCCTCTTTATGCTATTCTCAGTCTCCTTCATGTATCATATACCAAACAATCTCCCTTCCTAAGCTTTCAGATAAAAGTTCACTGTGGGGTGTCTATGGAGTACCTCAAAGAAATATGGAATTGAGATAAAATTGGGAGAGACAACTAATGTGAGAAACTATGGATGGAGGCAACAAATGATGATACTTTATAAGTAAGCTTTAAATATTAAAAAATCAAGTGCTCTGAGCTAGGGATTGAATATTTGTGACTGAAAGAGGAAACTGTGACCTAGTACAGAGTTGGCAAAGTCTAACTTTTGAGCCAAACCAGCTATCCATCTGGTTTTTGTTATTGGAACAAGGTCATGTTCATTCAAGTATTGTCTATGGCTGCTTTCAAGCTACAACCACCAACTTGAGTAGGCTCTCAAAGCCTGAACTATTTACTACCTGGCCACTTACAGAAAGTTTGCCAACCCCTCCTTCCATCAGACATCCACATGCCCTCCTCACCAGCTCCATGGGAGGAATATATTTCCTGGTCCCAATGAAGTTTGACTTGGGAAGGGAAGTTGCTTTGGTTAGTGGCATGTTGGAGAAATGTTATACCTCTGCTTAAACTTTCTCACAAAGGGTTGACTTCTCTGCTGATGCTGGGAGAAGGATCCCAAAGGCCAGGTAGTCCTTTCTGGGCTCAACTGGAACCTGTTTTCATTACCTATGATAAGCAAAACTGAGTCAGTCCAGGCAGGCTTAGAGACCCACCCGACTGTCTTAGAATCTTAGCCTCTTGTCATTTAATGGTATGGAAGTTGGTCAAAATCTTTTTTTTTTTTGAGATAGAGTCTCACTTTCAGCCTGGGTAGAGTGCCATTGTGTCATAACTCACAACCTTAAACTCTTGGGCTCAAGTAATCCCCTTACCTCAGCCTCCCAAGTAGCTAGGACTAGACTTCTACCACAACACCCAGCTAATCTTTAGTAGAGACAAGGTCTCGTTCTTGCTCAGACTGGTCTCGAACTCCAGAGCTCAAGCAATCCATCTGCCTCAGCCTTCCAGAGTGCTAGGAATACAGGCATGAGCCATCAAACCAGGCCATCCAGTCACAATTCCTTCAGCTGTTGATTTAAATGTCTTCCTCTGAGGATGAGTCTCAAGGTGCATTAAGAGGGTAGGATAAGTTCATCTGGAGTTACAAATCAAAGCTTTTCCAATCTAGCTTTACCGACAAAACTCACAGCCTGGCTCCAATTCAATTCCAGAATGCATATTTCTTAACTAATATATAATCAGTCCTTTGCCATTTATTTTCCTCTCCCTTATAAGATCTCAAGCTTTAGAAATGCCGAGAATTGTTCCATTCATTCTGGCAATTGACACACCGTATTTTGCACATTATGGACACTCAGTATGTCATTTTTGGATGAATGTAGATTATGCACATTTATTTAATAAAAGTGATGGCAAAATAAGTTAATATACACAATGAGCTTAGAACAGGGTCTAATATTAAGTTTAATAAAATTGATTGATTACAAAATAAGATTTAGAATAGGAATTAGACACGACTTTTTAGAATTCTGCCTTAAACTGAGATTGGAAAAACAGGTGAGAACTGATTAGAAATCATATACTTGATAAGAGTATTGATGAAGGCAAAGGAGTAAGTGTGGTATTTTAATATCTAAGAAAAACTAGGCTGACAATAACATTTGTTAAACTATATTAATTCCAAACAATAGGTTATTTTAAGTCTACTGCTATGAGATGAAGGGGGTATAATCAAAGCTTATCCATTAGATTCAGAGAACCTCAACTTATTCATTCAACTTTGTAGCCTTTGACCCTATAACCTCAAAAGCAAAATAAATAATTTGCTACTTTCAATCATTCAATTAACTATCTTAACACCACATAAATATCAAAATATTTTAAGACACACTATATACAAATTAAACTTTATTTCCTCATTTTCATTTAAACCTTGATTTTATAAAATACAAACCAAAAAATTTTAAGAGTTCTGTATCATAGTATTAAACAATAGAAACACCCATGGCTTCATAGGTTCAATTTACATAAGTTAAAATAGATGAAATGTATTTGATATGGAAACTATACAATAAAATAAATGACAAATGGACCTAATAAAGAAGTGTCTCATTACTTACTTTTAGGATCTAAACCTGAATATTCGTTCTTCTTCTGCTGTATTTTATATATTTCAATTCCTCCCTACCTATGTCGAGTCAAGCCACTTGACCAAAATGTCTGACT